CGACGGGTCAGCAGTAGAGGGAGCGAACCCAAGAGCCGCAAGTGTCGTCCTCAGTGTGTCGTGCCACTCACGTGGCGCCTGGCAGAGACCGTAGACCGGCCGCTGAAGCCTCCACTGGGTGCCAGGAGGAACTGACCCAGTGAAGCCAGGGGGGCGGCGCAGCCAGATCTCCTCGTGCAGGCTGCCCTGCAAGAAAGCAGTGCTGAAGTCAAGAGAGTGAAGCTCGTAGTCGCGGTGAGCGGCTATGTGCAGCAGCACCCGAAGAGTAGTCATCTTCGGGGTGGGGGAGAAGGTCTGAAAGAAGTCTACTCCCTCTCGCTGACTGAAGCCTCGAGCCACGTAGCGCGCCTTGAAGACAGGCGGAGAACCCGGCGGCCGCTTCACCCTGAAAATCCACATGCCACTGACGATGTTCGCCCCAGGAGGGGGAACCTCGTCTACGTAGATGCCTGTGGACTTCCAGGAAGCCATCTCTGCGTCCATGGCTGTCTGCCACTGAGAGGAGTAGGGACCCGCCATCGCCTCAGCGTAAGAGCGTGGGGTCGGGATGTCTGGTGCATCCGGGTCTCCCTCAGGGGCAACTAGCAAGGACACGAGATGGGGCAAAGCAGCAGCAAGGCAGTGGAACTCCTCCTGTCTGTCCTCAAGGACGTCCGTGCCGAGGGCACACTCACCCCCGACGGACGGAGGACAGGCAGACGCAGACTCAGACTCAGCGACAAGGCTGGCAGCGTAGTCTAGGCGACAGCGAGCAGCAAAGTCAACCAACTCAGCGACCAGAGCAGACGCAGCAGAGGACTCAAAGGTCGGGTCAGTGACAACTGTAGCGAGGAGACGCGTAACAGTGGGACTGGCAGCACGACGGGAGTCAGACTCCGGGTCAGGAAGAGTAGGAAGAGAGGACGCAGGAGGAGACGGCAGCGGGACACGCTGCGGAGCAGTGGAGGGACGCAGAGTCATGTAGTGAGTGCCAGGGACAGGAGGAGGACGCTCACGTAGGACACGACGACCAGTGCGAGCAGTACGAACAGGCGACGCAGGACGAGACTCAGGCTCACGACGCTCTGTAAGACCTCCTGTGGGACCAGCGTAAGGAGAGGGAGCAGGGAGAGGCGAGGCAGGCGGTAACTGTGACTGCGGCTGGACAGGCAGAGGACACTCGACGGAGGGAGGAGGACTAGGAGGAGGAGCCTGACCAAGAACCTGCTGAAGGAGCGGTACGAAGTACGGTCGCGGCCGCGCAGCGTCTCCAGAAGCAGCAGGGACACCAGTGGCAGCCCCAACGCCCGAGTCCTCAGCTCCAGCAGCAGCTCCAACGCCCGGGTCCTCAGCACCAGTAGGAGCTCCAACGCCCGAGTCCTCAGCACCAGCAGCAGCGCCACCGCCCGGGCCCTCAGCACCAGCAGTAGCGCCACCGGTCGGGTCCTCAGCACCAGCAGTAGCTCCAACGCCCGGGTCCTCAGCACCAGCAGCAGCTCCAGCCCCCGGGTCCTCAGCACCAGCAGCAGCTCCAGCGTCCGGGTCCTCAGCACCAGCAACAGCACCACCGCTCGGGTCCGCAGCACCAGGAGCACCACTACGAAGACTGCAGCGCCGCGTGTACCACTCGCGGATCACCTGAATGGGGGGGAGCTCCTGGGTAGGAGGGGAAGTACCGGGACGAGCTCCAGAAGCACCTCTCCGGAGGCGGCAGTACTCGAGGTACCTCTCCTGCAGCTGCTGGGAGGAGAGGGCTCCTCCAGGTGGAGCACGCTCAGGCTCAGCACCCCCAGACTCAGCACCCCCAGTCTCAGCACCCCCAGACTCAGCACGTCCAGACTCAGTACCTCCAGGCTCCGCACCTCCAGGCTCCGCACCTCCAGGCTCCGCACCTCCAGGCTCAGCACCCCTAGGCTCCGCACCTCCAGGCTCAGCACCCCCAGGCTCCGCACCCTCAGACGCAGCACTCCCAGGCTCAGCACCCCCAGACGCAGGACGCGAGTCAACAGCTACCTCGACAGGCTCACCCGGGTCTACCTGGGACACACCTGAGGGAGCGGCACCCTGAGGGGGGAGGGGGTCTGGTACCTCAGCACCTGGAGCGAGGAAGAGAGGCGGGGGGGGGAGCGGGGCAGTGCGGTAGGGGAAGAGGCGGTAGAAGGGGACGGACTCGTCAAAAGTGACGTCCTGAGAGGCCAGAACCCGGCGCGAGGTGACGTGGTAAAACTGCCATCCAGGCGCGTCGGGAACAAAGCCAAGAAAGACACAGGGAACAGCGCGACGCGAGAGCTTGTCCGCGGACGTGTCGCGGACAAAAGCTCGAGATCCCCAGACCCGGAAACGCGGGGCCGGTAGGTGCGACAATATAAACATGCAATGTTTGACAGTGCGCCTTCGTGCGCCCTCGTGCGCCCTCGTGCGCCCTCGTGCGCCCTCGTACGTCCTCGTGCGCCTTCGTGCGCCCTCGTACGCCCTCGTACGCCCTCGTGCGCCCTCGTGCGCCCTCGAGCTGCCCCTGCAGGTCCGTCAGGCCCCCGAGCCGCCTCTGCAGACCCGTCAGGCCCCCCCCGAGCCGCCTCTGCAGGCCCGTCACGCCCGAGAGCCGCCCCTGCAGACCCGTCAGGCCCGCGCGCAGCCTCTGCCCGACCGCGCGCCGCCTCTGCAGGCTCTCGCCGCCCACCGCGTCGCCCTGTCCGCGGCGTCGTCGCCTGCCCGCGGCGTCGTCGCCTGCCCGCGACGCAGCCCCTGCCCGCGGCGTCGTCGCCTGCCCGCGACGCAGCCCCTGCCCGCGGCGTCGTCGCCTGCCCACGGCGTCGTCGCCTGCCCGCGGCGCCGTTGTCTGCCCGCGGCGTCATCGCCTGCCTGCGGCGTCGTCGTCTGCCCGCGGCGTCGTCGCCCGGCCGCCGGGTTCTCCGCCTGTCTTTAAGGCGCGTTACGTGGCTCGTGGCTTCAGTCAGCGGCAGGGAGTTGACTACTTTCAGACCTTCTCTCCCACCCCGAAGATGACCACTCTTCGGGTACTGCTGCACATAGCCGCTCACCGAGACTACGAGCTGCACTCTCTTGACTTCAGCACAGCTTTCCTGCAGGGCAGCCTGCACGAGGAGATCTGGCTGCGCCGCCCACCTGGCTTCACTGGGACTTTTCCTCCTGGCACCCAGTGGAGCCTCCGGCGGCCAGTCTACGGTCTCCGCCAGGCGCCTCGTGAGTGGCACGACACACTGAGGACTACACTTGCGGCTCTTGGGTTTGCTCCTTCTACTGCCGACCCGTCGCTGTTTCTGCGCACCGACTCTTCCTTGCCGCCGTTCTACATCCTCGTGTACGTCGACGACTTGGTCTTTGCTACAGCTGACACTGCTGGACTTGCCTACGTGAAGTCCGAGCTGCAGAAGAGACACACGTGCACAGACCTGGGTGAACTGCGCAGCTACCTTGGCTTGCAGATCACCCGGGACAGAGCACAGCGCACCATTACCCTGACTCAGTCACACATGGTGCAGCAGGTCCTTCAGCGCTTCGGCTTCACGTACTCCTCGCCTCAGGCCACTCCTCTGGCTACACGCCACTCACTCTCAGCTCTGCCTTCGGATGAGTCCGTAGAGTCGAGTGGCCCGTACCCAGAGCTTGTCGGCTGCCTCATGTACCTGATGACCTGCACTCGACCTGACCTTGCATACCCTCTTAGCATTCTGGCACGCTTTGTTGCTCCTGGGAGACACAGACCAGAGCACATGGCTGCAGCGAAGAGGGTGTTGCGCTACTTGTGCAGTACGTCGGGCATGGGGCTTGTGCTTGGAGGGCAGAGTTCAGTGGTCCTCACTGGTCACGCAGACGTTTTTTGGGCTGACGACCAGGCTACGCAGCGGTCGTCACAGGGTTACACCTTCAGCCTTGGCTCTGGCTCTGTTTCTTGGCAGTCTACCCGCTCGTCTTCTGTTCTCGGCTCCAGTTGTGAGGCTGAGATCTACGCAGGGGCCATGGCTGCACTGGAGTTACGCTGGCTCACCTACCTGCTGACTGACCTGGGAGAGCCGCCTCGTTCTCCTCCAGTGCTGTACGTAGACAACAAGGCCATGCTGGCCTTGTGTCGGGAGCACAGACTGGAGCACAGAACGAAGCACATCGCTCTCCGCTACTTCCTTGCTCGTGAGCTGCAGCAGCGTGGTCAGCTGCGCCTTGCTTACGTGGCCTCTGAGGCCAACACTGCTGATATCTTCACCAAGGCACTCGCGCCTTGTGATCATCAGCGCTTCTGTACTCTGTTAGGTCTTGTGCCTACCTTGCCTCACTTGCTTACTTCTTGACCTTGCTTGTACTGTTACATATATATACCTGCCCTTGCTTGTTTAGCGTTATATATATGTACCCTTGCATGTGAACTGGCCTTGTGGCCTTGAACTTGTGCTCAGACTGTGCGGTGACGTTGTGATCCACCCTGAGCTTGCTTTGCCTTGCTTTGCTTGACTGGTCTTGTGACCCCTTGTTCTCCCCCACTTTGCCTATGGGGGTGTGTCAAACTCATACACTATAGTCTGTGTAGGCTGTAGTGGGGTAGCTTATATGGGGTACAACATTCTAGGGTTTGGCACTTGTACTCCTCATGCTGCTCAATGCAATCATTCTCGTTCTATTCTAAGATTCTAACAGATGGTGTTGATGGTGATGCTCCTGCGATCTCGTTCCCCTCCTTCCCCCACGCCTCCCCTCTCCCCCCATGAATCCCCCAAACATCGCACTTCCCCTCTTTCCAATTCCTCCCCACCTCCACTCTCTCTCTAAACCGTCTCTTCCACACACCAATCTCACTCCCCTTCCCCCCCCCCCTCCGCCTCCCCCTCCCCCTACCCCTTCCCCATCCCCCGTCCCCTCCCCCTCCGCGCGCGGTTGCTCCGCCCTGCTCCAGTGGGCAGCCCTTTCCCCAAACGTCCGCTCAAACACCTTCCGCCAAAAAGCTTCACCCCCTGCGCCGCCCGCATCCCGCTCCTCCGTGACCACCGCGTCCCGCCAGTCCCTGCGGAATGGGGAATAGGCAGAATTGGCGGAAAGAGGAATCAACGGAATGCGGGGAAGACAGAGAAGATGCGCAGTGGGGAACTGGGGGCACGTGGGCGAATTGCGTCAAGGAGTCTAGGGGAGGGAGCAAGTGGGGGCAAGGCGGGGTCGAGGCGCGGAAGAATCCGCCTGGGGGAGCGCACCTGCACGTGAGCATGGCGCAGATTATTCCGCCAGGCCCTTCGGCCGGTAGGCGTTGGAATATGTCGAGAAGAATGGTTCACGGAAGTCTCGCAGCTTGATGGGGCGGCGCAGAATCACGCATCGCCTTGTCTGGCGGCCCTTCGGCGTCCGCCATTTCCGCGCGCTCGCAGTGGCGCACAGGTCGAATTTGCAATCGAGGAGCCAATTTAGACTTCGGCTGTAACTGGGAACGGAACGGGGATATGAATTCCGGAAATTTTACAACTTCAGAGTGCACACCAAACGTACACCCTTTCTTTACTTGGAACACAAGAGCACAAGTGCCAGGCGGTCAGTACGGCCTTCAAAATCTGGGAGAGGCGTGTTTGGTGAGCGAAGGTTTTGACGTGCTCGGTTCGCCACTGGTAACCGCCTACTGTGTTATACGAGGCTCGCGAAATGCTAATTTTCGTGGTCGCACGTTTACGGTGGTGGTTTGGTAGGGTCAAATAAAACTACAGTACGTTCAAGTGCGGTATGGGGTCGAATTTTCACCCTGAGGGATCAAGTGCGTATTTTCGAACCCCACAACAGCGTGGAGCGAGTAGCGAAGTCATCACTAACGGGTCCACGGCACATGAGAGCATTCAACTCCATCATCACTCAACATCCGCCCTCGCCGCGTTTGTCGCCCGCATTCCGCCCGCCGCGCTTCCCCTCGCCCGCGCGCACCAGCTTTGCGCGCCTCTCATTCCGCCATGCATTTCGCCTCCCCCATATCTCCACTCCGCCCTGCTACCGCCGCTCTCCGCCATCCCCGCGAGTCCGCTCTGCCGTCGCTGCACTCCGCTCGCCCCTCTCCGCGGGGCGGCCAGGCGGCGCGAAATCGCGCTGAGGGCGCAGGCGGCGGCAGGCGCGGATGAGGGGAAGGAGTCGAGGGGCGGGGGCGTGGGCAAGCGAAGCGGCGGCGGGGTGAAGCGCGTGGTAGTTCTGGGCGGGAGCGGCCGCGTGGGGAGGTCGACGGCCGTGGCGCTGGCGGCGCTGGCGGCGTCCGACGATGAGGCGACGCGCGCGGGGTTCCAACTGGAGCTGATCATCAGCGGGCGCAACAGGTGCGCGCCCGCCCGGAATGGCGCACTCCTTGCGCGGAGCACCACCGTTGCTGCTTCATCGCTGCGTGTGTGCTTGCCTCGCTGCGTGCCGCCATGTGTTTCGCCCTCTCCCATCGCCACTCATTCCTTCTGCTCTGCCCTCCTCTCTCGTCGTCCATCCACCCCACCCACCCACCACCCTTCCATGCGCGCGTGCATGTGCGGGCGCATCTGTATTACAACGGGGGCGATGCAGGGGGAGGGGCGAGGCTGTGTGTGAGGAGGTGAGGGCGGCAGCGGGGGCGGCAGGGAGTGCAACATTTGCTGCGTGAGTGTGACATCACCGACGCCTCTGCACTTGACGCGCTCCTCTCAGGTCGCACTGACAGCCCCGGGTCTCACATCTCCCTCCCATGGACCACGCTGTGCCTCCCATGCCGTTCCGTGCCATTCTCTGCCATTCTCTGCCATTCTCTGCCATTCTCTGCCATTCTCTGCCATTCTCTGCCATTCTCTGCCACTGCCTCTGCTGCTGTCTCGCCTTCTCCCATCCTTACCCTTTTTCCCGTACCTCTCCCACTTACTGAACTTTCACCCCCCTAACCGACCTGCATCACCTCCTATTCTCTCCATCGCCTCTCCCCCCTTTTCCTCCCTCTCCCTCTCCCTTCCCTCCGGTTCGCAGGAGCTGACTTGGTGGTGCGCTATGCAGGGCCCTTCCAGCAAGAACCGCACTGCACAGTTTTGGAAGCCGCCATCCGCACCAAGGTGGGCGGCCTGCCTCTGGGTGTCTTCCTCCTCTCTCCCCTCCCACACCTGCATTGCGCCCCACACACCCTGCATCACCGCTCCCCCGCTCTACCCATCACCAGCCCCTGCTGTACCGCCATCGCCTTCTCTTCTCAATGTCGTGTGTCTCGACGTGGCGGTTTGAGGCTCCTCAAAAGCCCTCCCTCTCACCCCCTTCCCCACTCCTTAACCCCCCTCTTCCCCCAGACGCCCTACGTGGCTGTGTGTGACGACGTGGCGATCGCTGGCAACGCACTCTCGCTGCATCTACTCGGCAGGTGTGCCGGCCATCACCACCGCCGGCATCTACCCAGGCGTCAGCAACTGTCCGTGCGCGCAGGGGATAGGGGGGGGGAAAAGATGGGCTCCAGATGGAACGTTGGGGGATAAATGGCGTGGGAGAGTAGCGATGACATGGGGAGTAGCGATGACATGGGGAGTAGCGATGACATGGGGAGTAGCGATGACATGGGGAGTAGCGATGACATGGGGAGTAGCGATGACATGGGGAGTAGCGATGACATGGGGAGTAGCGATGACATGGGGAGTAGCGATGACATGGGGAGTAGCGATGACATGGGGAGTAGCGATGACATGGGGAGTTGTAGGGACATGGACCACGGGTTCGCGCCGTGCCACTGGATGGAGGGCGTCATGCGCGTCCCCCCACCCTACACCTGCTGCCTTTCGCGCAAATCTGCTGGCGCCGCCTCGCCCCTTTCACCGCCCCCGCCGCACCTGCACTGCACGCGCCTCTTTCTTGCACGGCCCACGGGTCGCTTTGTTCACGCCTGTCTCTCGGTTTTCGTCTCTCGGAATTCAGCGGCTTCCGCCTGTATCGTCCACACCTCCCTCCGCACCCGCAGTTTCGTGTGCGCAGGGAGAGAATTGGATGGGCGTGGCGCGGGGTGCGAGAGCTACATGTCTTGTTTCTTGTGCTGGCCTGTTCCTCTGTCTTGAGCAGTGGGGTGGCGGGGGGGGGGAGGGGAGGGGGAGGGGGGAGCGGAAGAAGGGGGTGTTAAAGGGAAAGGGGCACGCTTCCCTCTTTCGTTTGCCGCCACTGCTTGTGCGCCACTGCATGACATTGCTGTTATTCGTGTCCGCTCCTTGTCTCGGCCCCTACAGTCCAATCTAGACTGTTCTTAGCCTCGGGCTCCGAGCATCGTTCTCCGATCCTAGCGTGCCGTGCCTGCAGGTCCGCGACGAGCACATGATGGCCATCGCAAAGAGGGAGGTTCGGGCCGGGCCTGCTCGGCTGAATCTGGCGAGCATGAAGCGGGTCGGGCAGGCAGCGCTGAGGAGGCCATGGCGCTCACTGCTCGCAGCTGCAGACGCGCTGGCTCACCAACGGAACCTTCAATCATGCTGCTCTCATGCCCATCGCCTCTTGCCACCAACTCAACGTACGCCCTCCTTTCCCCCCGCCCTTCCTCCCTTCTCGCCCCCCCTCGCCTCCTGACCCTCCTATACCGCTCCTCCCCTCCCCACCTCCTGTCCCGCTCCACCTTGTGAGCGGTGCATGCGTGTCTGTAACCTTTTTCCCCACTCCTTCGCTCCCCCCCGCCATGCTGTAATGTGGCATGATGACATGTGGGATGATGACATGTGGGATGATGACATATGGGATGATGGCATGTGGGATGATGACATGTGGGATGATGGCATGTGGGATGATGGCATGTGGGATGATGACATGTGGAATGATGGCATGTGGGATGATGACATGTGGGATGATGACATGTGGGATGATGGCATGTGGGATGATGACATGTGGGATGATGGCATGTGAGATGATGACATGTGGGATGATGACATGTGGGATGATGACATGTGGGATGATGGCATGTGGGATGATGGCATGTGGGATGATGGCATGTGGGATGATGGCATGTGGGATGATGGCATGTGGGATGATGACATGTGGGATGATGACATGTGGGATGATGGCATGTGGGATGATGGCATGTGGGATGATGGCATGTGGGATGATGACATGTGGGATGATGGCATGTGGGATGATGACATGTGGGATGATGACATGTGGGATGATGACATGTGGGATGATGGCATGTGGGATGATGGCATGTGGGATGATGGCATGTGGGATGATGACATGTGGAATGATGGCATGTGGGATGATGGCATGTGGGATGATGGCATGTGGGATGATGACATGTGGGATGATGACATGTGGGATGATGGCATGTGGGATGATGGCATGTGGGATGATGACATGTGGGATGATGGCATGTGGGATGATGACATGTGGGATGATGACATGTGGGATGATGACATGTGGGATGATGGCATGTGGGATGATGGCATGTGGGATGATGGCATGTGGGATGATGACATGTGGAATGATGGCATGTGGGATGATGGCATGTGGGATGATGGCATGTGGGATGATGGCATGTGGGATGATGGCATGTGGGATGATGGCATGTGGGATGATGGCATGTGGGATGATGACATGTGGGATGATGGCATGTGGGATGATGACATGTGGGATGATGGCATGTGGGATGATGACATGTGGGATGATGGCATGTGGGATGATGGCATGTGGGATGATGGCATGTGGGATGATGGCATGTGGGATGATGGCATGTGGGATGATGACATGTGGGATGATGGCATGTGGGATGATGACATGTGGGATGATGGCATGTGGGATGATGACATGTGGGATGATGGCATGTGGGATGATGGCATGTGGGATGATGGCATGTGGGATGATGGCATGTGGGATGATGACATGTGGGATGATGACATGTGGGATGATGACATGTGGGATGATGACATGTGGGATGATGGCATGTGGGATGATGGCATGTGGGATGATGGCATGTGGGATGATGACATGTGGGATGATGACATGTGGGATGATGACATGTGGGATGATGACATGTGGGATGATGACATGTGGCACATGGTATGGCATGTCGGCACGATGCGTTGGCATGGCGGGTGGCATGATGGCATGGTGTGCGGGGTGGGCAGGTGTTGGGGCTGGACAATTGTCGCAGCAGTGCGCGTGCAAACCGCCCCTTCTCTCGCTTCCTGCCACCTGCGTCGCCGTTCCTGCTGTCGTGTCTCCCACCGCAGCGCCCATGCAGTGCCCAAACGTGATAGACAGGTTCGGTGGCGTGAGAGAGGATTTGTCGGCGGAGCAACCGCTAGGGTTTCCTGTGAGGTTTGGAATGAAGCGCACGGATGATGGTTACACTGACCGTGCTGGTAACCACGCAGCAGGCAACGCAGTCATGGTTATGACAGCGGCAACGGGTGTGAGGATGGAGGCATGCGTTACGATGACATGGGCGGGGATGACGCGGGCGATTGGCTGTCGCGCAGCTGCGGGCGCAAGGACCGGCGCATCAAGGCGCGGAGCATGGCGGAGAGGCAGAGGCACGAGAGGATCAGCAAGGGGCTGCAGAAGCTGCGGATGGAGGTGCGCGGCCAATGGCCATGGGAACACGGCCAACATGCTTGACAATGCTGTCGCATACGTGTAGGCGCTGCAGAGGCGAGTGACATCGTTGGAAACAAACATGCTGCTGCACCAGGCGCCCTGTGGGGCCCTTGGTCAGGCTGGGGGCGCCCTGGGCGGTACCAATGGACCAATTCCAATAACAGGGGCCGCCATGCTAATGGCTTCATCAACCCCTCCCAGTTCGGTTCTCTCTTTGGCTTGGATGTGGGGCACTCACTTGTAATTAGTCAGGCATGTTACCGTATCGCCCCGGATAAAAGCGCAGGCCTATGATAAGCGCATGCGCTTCTATCTGGAGCAATGCGCTTATGGCCGATCCTCAATTATAAGCGCACCCCCTGTAAAACCCTGACTTATTATAAGCGCATGTATAATATTAAAATTTGAATTTGCTTGAAACGGTAACGAAATTCCAATTTGCAGCGAGGTCACACCAATTTCGGTTCGATTGACTCGCGAGGACCTTACATTCTGCGCGTCCAGTCATTATGAGCTGGAATTCCGGCGCAATGACGTGTAACTGCCCCTGTGTGCCCGCAGAAATTCGCCCGCGTGCGACTCTGAATTGTGACCCCCTATCATTGCGCTTCGATTAAAATTGCAATAAGGGGATGTACAATCTGGTGCAGTAAGAATATAAATTTGTATTAGTCATTATATAAGCGCATGCGCTTATATTTTTTACTCAATTATAAGCGCACCCCCCTAAAAAACACTGATTTATTATAAGCGCACCTGCGCTTTAATCCGGGGTAATACGGTAATACCCGTAAGCCCCCGGATAGAAGCGCAGGCCTCGGATAAGCGCCGGCGCTTATAAAAGAATGAGGGCGCTTATTGTCAGAATCCCAGCCACTAACCACTGGGATAAAAGGGCTTGTTATAGTAGCGGGTGAGTGCGCCCATAACCCCCCAGGCCAACGTGCCTGTAACCCTTCCCTAGGATCAATCGGGGATCACCAGTGGACCTCTGACACCCCCCCGCACTGGGATGCCCGAGGTGCACACACCGGGATTCGAACCCGAGACCTTCGCTCTGATACCATGTCAGAATCCCAGCCACTAACCACTGGGATAAAAGGGCTTGTTATAGTAGCGGGTGAGTGCGCCCATAACCCCCCAGGCCAACGTGTCAGAATATTATGCTCTAGCCTGCAGTGGGGTGCTCTGTAGCGAGTACAACCCTTCTAGGGTTTGCTATTTGTATCCCCATTCTTGCTAGTTCAGTCCTCTTTTGCCTAATTCTCTCGACATGCTATCAGAGCAGGACGATCCTGTTGGGTCGATCCTGTGGGTGGGCCCACCACCAAATGCTTCCGCTGCTGTTCTACTGGTCGCGCGACGCCTCCTTCCTGCCGCGCGCGGAGCGCGCGGGGAAATTTTTTTTTTTTACGGATTTTTCATCCCGCCGCGCGCTCGGGGCGTGCGGCGGGTTTCTCCCCGCCGTGCGCCCCGAGGCGCGCGGCGGTTTCCTCCCGTGGGGGATGCCCGCGTCCCCCCGATCCCGTCGCCCGCGGCCCCGCTTTCCCGTCGCCCGCGGCCCCGCGATCCCGTCGCCCGCGGCCCCCCGATCCCGTCGCCCGCGGCCCCGCGATCCCGTCGCCCGCGGCCCCCCGATCCCGTCGCCCGCGGCCCCGCGATCCCGTCGCCCGCGGCCCCCCGATCCCGTCGCCCGCGGCCCTGCGATCCCGTCGCCCGCGGCCCCGCGATCCCGTCGCCCGCTGCCCCCCCGATCCCGTCGCCCGCGGCCCCCGATTTCCCGTCGCGCCGCCCTGGGGAGCCGCGCGCGGCCCCTCGCTGCCCCGTGGTGGCGTCCTGGGGGCCACGCGTCGTCCCCCTCGCCGTCCCCCGTGCTCCTTCCCCCGTTCCGCCCGTTTTAGGGTTTGGGGGTGAGGAGTGTGGGGGTGGCAGCTATGGGGGTGCCGTGTGTGTGCGCCGTGCCCTGCTCCTCCTCCTCCTCCGTCTCCCACTGCTGCAGCTGCCGCTGAGGGGGGTGGATGTGTGGGAGCCGAGGGTTAGGGTTTAAAGGGGGGTGCCGTGGGAGTGGAGCTAGGGGTTCAGCAGGGGGTGTGTGTCGAGGGGTGTGGGACAGTTGGAGGAGGTTGAGCGGAGGCCGCCGTCGTGTAGTCCGCAGCGCCTGTATTCCGGGGGTCGATTAGCCACCGGTAGCTCAGAGAGCCGGTTGCGCCGTCGCCTGTGGGTCCGTTGCTCCTGCCGCGCATATTAGCCGCGGAGCCTGTTACTCCTGTACTCCGGGGCACTCATTCCCGGTAGCCACGTTGTCGCACCAGAGCCGTCTGTTGCCCGTGTGTCTGCAGCTTCAGTCGTCGCCTCCCATCTTCTCTCCTCTCGCCAGCCCTCCTCCTCCTCACTTGCCCCCCGTGACTGCCTCTAGCTTTGCTCATAATTGTGAACCTTAAACTATTGCTTCTTGCTTGTGCTCAGAATGTGTGGTGACATCGTGATCCACCCTGAGCTTGTACTGCTTTGTTTCCTCTGCTGATTACACCCCACTTTGGCTATGGGGGTGTGTCAGAATATTATGCTCTAGCCTGTAGTGGGGTGCTCTGTAGCGAGTACAACCCTTCTAGGGTTTGCTATTTGTATCCCCATTCTTGCTAGTTCAGTCCTCTTTTGCCTAATTCTCTCGACACAACGTGCCTGTAACCCTTCCCTAGGATCAATCGGGGAGCACCAGTGGACCTCTGACACTTATATCCGGTCCTCGATTATAAGCGCACCCCCTAAAAATTCATGATTTATTATAAGCGCATGCCGATTTTTTTTCTTGAAAAACTGTCGAATTACAGAAACGAATTTCGCCTTAGCAGGGAAACGAAGCACAATTCCAATAGATTTCACTTTCGAGAGCCGGTAGCGGTCGGTAGCGCCCGGTAGCGCTACCGACCGAGTCAGCACGCTGCCCGCGGGCAAAAAAAATAAACCCATGGCTTACGGCATGCCATTCGGGAGCCTCAACCCTAAAATTTTAGGGTTGAGGCTCCCTCGGATGGCATGCCCCCGACTGGGGTTTATTTTTTTTCTTGCCCGCGCTGACTCGATTGCACTGCCTGCGTCAGCAGGCAGTGCAATATATATTCCTGTTTCCCACTCAAAATCTCACTTGCTGCGCGTCTAGTCAGCATGTGCTAGTCAGCATGTGTTGGCAGGGAATCAATCCCTGCCAAGCTGCGCGAGATTCGGATTCGTGACCCCATATAGTTTCTACAGTTTGGTGTAAATAACGATGAAAATGGGCAGAACGAGATCTACAGTTTGGTGTAAATAATACTTCATTTCATTTTTGCCATTATATAAACGCCGGCGCTTATAAAAATCCTCGATTATAAGCCCACCCCCTAAAAAACAGTGTTTTTTTATACCCCCAGGGGCGCTTCTTTCCGGGGGCTGACGGGTAATATACTAAACTAAATTACAGTAAGACTGCTTTTGGCAGACGTCGTACCATACATGCAAAGCCATGCTATTGTTCGAGATTCTAGTGAATATTCTTCATCATGTGAGCTAGTTTGACTAGCTGGCGAGGGAGTGTAGCAAATGAGCACCCTAAATCCGTCATAGCGACTGACTGCAACCTTATGATGCGCTATTAAAGCCGGCGCCTAGAATGGCAAGGGTTCATAGATACTGAACTTGAAAAGGGGTTGCACGAAGGTTGACGAGAGAAAAATTCGCCGGAGGGAGGTGGCGAAGGCGGAATGCTCCACAGTGTCTCGCAACTTCAACTTCAACTTCAAGAAACTTGAACAAACCCAACCACCCTCACGCTGCTCACAACCTAGGTTTCTGCCGAAGTCTGCAAATGCACTCTTCGAGCAGGCTGAAAACAGCGTGCGCAAGTACCAGATAGAACGTAAGTGTTAGGAAACTGAGTATCCAGACTAAAATGGCTACGTAGAACATGTGAGAACGTATACTTTTTGGCCGGAATCGAGAGGAAGCAGAGGACCGAGGGAGGGAATGGAAAGCGAATGCGAGTGTGAAGCACAGAGATAATGTGCGGCACGGCGTGAGAAATCAGAGCGTTGTCGACCTCGCTTCCCCCGTCCGTCGATCTCGCATCCACCGTTCGTCGCCCTCGCTTCCCCCTTTTCGCCCAAGCTTCCCCATCCGTCGCCACAGCTTCCTCCGCCCATCGCCCTCGCTTCTCCCTCCCATCTCCCTCGCTTCCCCATCCCATCGCCCTCGCTTCCCCATCCCATCGCCCTCGCTTTCCCCTCCCAACGCCCTCGCTTCCCCTTCCCGTCGCCCTCGCTCCCCCATCCCATTGACCTCGTTTCCCCATCCCATCGCCCCCGCTTCCCCCTCCCAACGCCCTCGCTTCCCCCTCCCAACGCCCTCGCTTCCCCCTCCCGTCGCCCTCGCTTCCCCCTCCCGTCGCTCTCGCTTCCCCCTCTCGTCGCCCTCTCTCCCCCCTCCCGTCGCCCTCACTCTGCTCCCCCAGCTCATTCTCTTTCCCAGCTCACTCTGCTTCCCCTGCTCATTCACTTCCCCAGCTCACTCTACTTCCCCTGCTCATTCTCTTCCCCAGCTCACTCTACTTCCCCTGCTCATTCTCTTCCCCAGCTCACTTCCCCTGCTCATTCTCTTCCCCAGCTCATTCTGCTTCCCCTGCTCATTCTCTTCCCCATCTCACTCTGCTTCCCGTGCTCATTCTCTTCCCCAGCTCACTCTACTTCCCCAGCTCATTCTCTTCCCCAGCTCACTCTACTTCCCCAGCTCATTCTCTTCCCCAGCTCACTCTACTTCCCCTGCTCATTCTCTTCCCCAGCTCACTCTACTTCCCCAGCTCATTCTCTTCCCCAGCTCACTCTACTTCCCCAGCTCATTCTCTTCCCCAGCTCACTCTACTTCCCCAGCTCATTCTCTTCCCCAGCTCACTCTACTTCCCCAGCTCATTCTCTTCCCCAGCTCACTCTACTTCCCCAGCTCATTCTCTTCCCCAGCTCACTCTACTTCCCCTGCTCATTCTCTTCCCCAGCTCACTCTGCTTCCCCTGCTCATTCTCTTCCCCAGCTCATTCTGCTTCCCCTGCTCATTCTCTTCCCCATCTCACTCTGCTTCCCGTGCTCATTCTCTTCCCCAGCTCACTCTACTTCCCCAGCTCATTCTCTTCCCCAGCTCACTCTACTTCCCCAGCTCATTCTCTTCCCCAGCTCACTCTACTTCCCCTGCTCATTCTCTTCCCCAGCTCACTCTGCTTCCCCTGCTCATTCTCTCCCCCCCGCCTCACTCTGTTTCCCCCTGCTCACTCTCTTCCCCCCTACTCGCTTTGTTTCTGCCTGTTCACTTTATTTTCAGCTGCTAATTCTGTTCCCCCTTCCACTCACCCCCATTCCCAACCGCGCAGGGTACAAGTCCGAGCACCATGGCCCTGGGTTTATTGCATGAAGTGTAGCAGGTATAAAGCATTACACTTCCTAGCTGTCTTGTTCGTGTTGATAGTCAGTTGTTCTCGTGAGAAATAAAGTACTCTCTCTATTGCACTTTTTTGAAGTGGCCATGTGCATGGCTGCTCCTTCTAAGCTCAGGGTTTGTTTGTATTACCGAATAACAAAACACCCAACATCAATACATGGCATGGCTAGTCTTAGTGGTACCATCAGACCCCAACATGTCACAACAACCAGATGCATTGAGGGCATGTACAAACACAAACCTGGAAATAAGTTGTGACATGGCTGAGTATATACAAGATAGAGTGTGCAGAGGACAGAGTGAGCAGGGCGCGGGCAACGCTAAGTTCCCCATGGCAGCTGAGCACACACACACACCGAGGTTTCCAGTGGAGGGGGGGGGGAGGGGAGGGGAAAGCAGGAAGGTTGGTGCAAATGATAACACAAACACGTGCAGCAGCACGGCACCGCACCGTATGGCACAACACAATGTCTGGCAGCATCAGCAGCAGCTTTACATAGTGCAAGGGCCAGCCATGTATCTTACGATTTTATGCGGCACTTTTTGGTGCCACACAAGCTTGTGACCCGGGCGCGAGGAGAAGCGTGGCTGTGGCATGTGCTGCTTGTATGGAAGGGGTTCGGGATGAGAGGGGGAGGGGAGAGGCGAGAGGCGTGAGGAGAGTAAAATGAAATATAGCCTGCTCACGCACCCAGCACCTTATAAGGGGGAGGAGAGGAGAGGGAGGGGTGGGGGGGAAGTGGGAAGTTGTGGAGCGGGGAAGGGGCGGATAGGTGATTAGTGCATGGTGAACAATGCATGGGGCATGGGGCACGTGGCATGGTGCATGGTGCATTGGGCATACCGTTTTGAGCATGTCAAAACGGCATTGGATAGGGAGGGAAGGAAAGGCGAAGAGAGAGGGACAGCGAGGGAGGGAAGGAGAGGCGACGAGAGAGGGACAGCGAGGGAGGGAAGGAGAGGCGACGAGAGAGGGACAGCGAGGGAGGGAAGGAGAGGCGACAAGAGAGAGACAGCGAGGGAGGGAAGGAGAGGCGAAGAGAGAGGGACAGCGAGGGAGGGAAGGAGAGGCGGAGAGAGAGAGACAGCGAGGGAGGGAAGGAGAGGCGAAGAGAGAGGGACAGCGAGGGAGGGAAGGAGAGGCGAAGAGAGAGGGACAGCGAGGGAGGGAAGGAGAGGCGAAGAGAGAGAGACAGGGAGGGAGGGAAGGAGAGGCGAAGAGAGAGGGACAGCGAGGGAAGGAAGGAGAGGCGAAGAGAGATGGACAGCGAGGGAGGGAAGGAGAGGCGAAGAGGGGGAAGGGCGGAAATCAGAAGAAATGGAGCAAGGGGGGAGGGGAGGAAAGAGAGGGTTCAGTGAGATGGGAGGGAAAGGAGGAAGACATGGGCGGGGATAAGGGCGAGAAGCGTGGAGGGAGAGGGAGGGCGAGTGAGAGGGAGAAGGGGGAAACGGAGGAAAGGACTAAAGGAAAGGGAGGGAAAACAAGGGGGAAACGGAAGGAAGGACAAGGGGGAAGGGGGGAGGGACAAGAGCGGAAATCGGAGGGACGGGAAGTGGGGAAAGGAAAAACGAAATGGACAAGAAGGGAAACGGATCCGGAGGAACCGTGGGGAAGGACATGGGGGGGAAAGGGGGGAGGGACAAGGGTCTTGGGATTGAGGCTGGGCGGGCTAAGAGGAAGGGAGGGAAGGACAAGGAGTCAGGGATTGAGGGGCAAGGGGAGGGAGGACACGGGGGAAAGGGAGGGAGGGGGGAGGGGGGAGGGGGAAGGGAGGGAGGGACAAGGGACTTCAGGACAGGGTGGAAAGGCGGGCGAAAACGGAGACAAGGGGAAAGAAAAGGGGGGGGCAGTGGGGGAACGGGGGAAAGTACAAGGGGGGAAACGAGAGTGGTGGGAAGCGGACTCGGAGAAAATGACGAAACGGGATGCAGTGCTCGGTGGAATGCAATGGTATGCGGAGGGTACGGCGAGGAGAGAAAGGAGGGAAGAACAAGAGAGGAAAGAAGGGAGGGGCAAGGGCACGAGACGGGGAGGGGAAGGGAACGAGACGGGGAGGGGAAGGGAACGAGACGGGGAGGGGAAGGGAGCGCGACGGGGAGGGGAAGGGAACGAGACGGGGAGGGAAGGGAACGAGACGGGGAGGGGAAGGGAACAAGACGGGGAGGGGAAGGGAACGAGACGGGGAGGGGATGGGAACGAGATGGGGAGGGGAAGGGAGCGCGACGGTGAGGGGAAGGGAGCGCGACGGGGAGGGAAAGGGAGCGCGACGGGGAGGGGAAGCGAGGGCGACGTGCAGGAAAAAAAAAAGAGCCACGAAAAGGGAGAATGACGAGAAGGCAATGTGTGTCGGGAATGACGGAAGGGAGCGCGACGGGTAGGGAAGGGAGCGCGACGGGCAGGGGAAGGGAGGGCGACGAAAAGGCGGCGATGGGAGGCGACGGTACCGCCGCGACGATGGAAATGGCATTTGCCGCCGCGACGATGTTGATGGTCGTGACCGTCACTACATTGGGAACGGAAGTGACATTGGCCGCGAAAGATGGAACTGTAGTGCCCCTGAACTGCCTACGGTCGGAATGGTGGTTGACGACGCTCACAAGAGCTCTTAGTCAAGGCGAGTCGTGTGTTACGGCGGCAGTCTTGAAAAAAGAGTGACGCGAGTGTGTGACTTTGTGAGGGAATGGGAGTGACGGGGAGGGCGAGATAAACAGGAGGGACAATACGAACGGGCGAGACGGGATGGACGAGCGGGAATGAGTGCGCTAGCAGAAAAGTTCGCTTTCTAAGCTATGGAGCCTCCTAGAAATCGAGTCTAGTATGGTCAGTTTCACTTTCAAGTTTGCTAAAGTATGAACAGTAGTCTGCGTGGTTGGCTTTTGTGGCGAGAGGGTTGATAATTTTGCCTGTGTTCATCTCAGCCAATCAGAATCCCCCTCCCAGAAACTGTTTACCGTGGTTGCGAGGGTAAGAAAGCCCCAACCGGGTTACCCTGTTTTTGGCGATTTCAGCTTCAAGAATCTTGAACTTGAACCTTTGCCATTCTAGACTCGGGCTTTGAAGCGGTGTGGAAACGTTGATGGAAGTGGGATGCACACGGGATTGCGAGAGAAATGAATTCGTGCTGGAAGTGGGATTGGGATGCAGGTTTCGAAGTTCGGAAAGGTCGATTGTTCATCGTGTAGTGACGATATTTTACACCTCAAAATGCACGGTGAACAAAGTGCAGTCTTCCTGTACCGGGGATGGGTGGATGGAAGAAAATACTCTTACAAAACGACTCGGTAAAAAGAGTTTGCACTCTTGAAGAAACCATAATATTGACGAGTACATAACCACAAAGCGTGCACCACCCTCATCCACGAATTCGTGGCGCGCAAGGTCGCACGTCATCTGCGTGCTGACGTGGAGCGGGCATACCCACATTCGCAGCTCGTCCCCCCCCAATTTCTCACACAACTTTACCCCCACTCCACCCCTCGAGATTGCACATCGCGGGTCCAGACCCTCCACACTATCTCGCAGCGTGTCGCGGAGTGACTAAATCGGGCCATCCATTAGGCCGATTAGGGCGCGGTGGGTGGGCCCGGTGCAAGCATTCGTTCAAATAAACGCGTTTGACACCTGTCGACGCCGATCCAGCGGCCGACTGCTGCTTTTGAACGCGTTTGACACGCGTCGAGACGCGAAGCGAGCGCGGTCGTCACACGCCCTCTCTTTCCTTTGAGCGGCCCGACGACATGGTTAGGTTCCGCTTGAGCTCTCGAGCCGCATTTCGAGCGCATCCTGAGGCGCATTCTGTGACACGTTCTGGAGGCGCTTTCATGTGTTTCCTGGTTATCCCGTTGGTTTGGAAATTAGTGGTCCCAATTCGGGTTCCATTTCTGTGGTCCCGTCCCTACCGCTTCTTTCTCTTCTCCCATCATCCCCTTTCTCCCCATTCCTCCCCCTTTTTCTTTCCCCCCCTCCCCCCCCTCCCCCCCCGCTCCCGCCTCCTCTCCCTCCCCTTCGTCGCCCCTTCCCCCGAGCAGTCATCCGGCACTCACCTCCTCTCGTCCGCCGCGCGCTCCCCCGCGCTCTCCACGCTCTGCGGCAGAATGCGCTGCATCTGCTGCGCGCCAAGCGCGCTTGCCGCCGCCCCACGCCTTTCCCCGTCCCTCTCCGCCACCCTCTCCCCCTCTGCGCGGAAAATCACGCGCTCCTCCGCGCACAGCCTGCGCTCCGCGTTTCTCCCTCCCACCTTAGGATTCCCCCGCAGCAGCAGCCGGCTATGCGCCCTCGGCGCAACATCCCCCGCCACAGTCCCCATCCCCGACCGAGTCAGCACGCTGCCCGCGGGCAAAAAAAATAAACCCATGGCTTACGGCATGCCATTCGGGAGCCTCAACCCTAAAATTTTAGGGTTGAGGCTCCCTCGGATGGCATGCCCCCGACTGGGGTTTATTTTTTTTCTTGCCCGCGCTGACTCGATTGCACTGCCTGCGTCAGCAGGCAGTGCAATATATATTCCTGTTTCCCACTCAAAATCTCACTTGCTGCGCGTCTAGTCAGCATGTGCTGTCACTTAGTCAGCATGTGTTGGCAGGGAATCAATCCCTGCCAAGCTGCGCGAGATTCGGATTCGTGACCCCATATAGTTTCGACTCGATGAAAATGGGCAGAACGAGATCTACAGTTTGGTGTAAATAATACTTCATTTCATTTTTGCCATTATATAAACGCCGGCGCTTATAAAAATTCTCGATTATAAGCCCACCCCCTAAAAAACAGTGTTTTTTTATACCCCCAGGGGCGCTTCTTTCCGAGGGCTGACGGGTAATATACTAAACTAAATTACAGTAAGACTGCTTTTGGCAGACGTCGTACCATACATGCAAAGCCATGCTATTGTTCGAGATTCTAGTGATTATTCTTCATCATGTGAGCTAGTTTGACTAGCTGGCGAGGGAGTGTAGCAAATGAGCACCCTAAATCCGTCATAGCGACTGACTGCAACCTTATGATGCGCTATTAAAATCCACAAAAGGCTTCCCAAACACACGGGCAACTAGGCGAAACTACAAGTCCTACAAGCCAGTATTACACTACATGCAATCAGTTTTCCATAGAACTCATTGGTTTTCCATGCTTTTCTGCAACCCCGCCGGCATGGTCCTCGATACCGTATGTATGCCCTGCTCCCCCCCTGTTCGCCCCCCTGCAGCCCCCCTGCTCGCCCCCCTGCTCGCCCCTGCTCGCCCCTGCTCGCCCCCCTGTTCGCCCCTGCTCGCCCCCCTACTCGCCTTGCCCCCCTGCTCGCCCCCCTCCTCGCCCCCTGCTCGGCCCCCAACTCGCCTTTCCCCTGCTCGCCCCCCTGCTCGCCCCCCTGCTCGCCCCCCTGCTCGCCCCCCTGCTCGCCCCCCTGCTCGCCCCCCTGCTCGCCCCCCTGCTCGCCCTCCTGCTCGCCCCCCTGCTCGCCCCCCTACTCGCCTCGCCCCCCTGCTCGCCCTCCTGCTCGCCCCCCTGCTCGCCCCCATTTTCGCTCCCCCCAGACCTGTCTTCCTCATCTGCCCCTCTTCCTCTCTTCCTCAGCCCTCCCCTCGGCACTTTCTTGCTTTTAGCAATCAGGCGTCGGATCTCTTCATCCGTACCACCAGACAGGGTAGCAACCACCTCCGCCCACCTCATGTTTGCGGGTTTTTTCTTCATCTGGGATGCTGCAGCGAACTGTGAAGGAGTGAGGAACTTGGGCTTTTCTGGGACTCGAACCTTGTTAACCACCCGTGCAATCTCTGACGACTTACCACCCATGTCGTGGTACTCGAAATGACCCACCTCTTCCCGTCTTTTATTATTTGGATCCCATATTCTAATCCTATAGGGTTTGAGCTCGTATGTGCACCCGACAATACCACCGAAACCCCCTTCCTCATCTTCTCCCACACCCTCTCCCCCTCCAACCCCCTCTCCCCCTCCTCTCCCTCCTCCTCTTCCTCCCGCTTCCTCTTCTCCTCCGCCTCCCCTCCCCCTCCCCCTCCCTCCCCCCCATCTCCTGCCCCGGCTGGCGGAACCGGGTACCTCAGGTTCCTAAACACCCGCTTGAGAGAGAGAGAGAGAGAGAGAGAGAGAGAGAGGAGGAGAGAGAGAGAGAGAGAGAGAGAGAGAGGAGAGAGAGAGAGAGAGAGAGAGAGAGAGAGAGAGAGAGAGAGAGAGAGAGAGAGAGAGAGAGAGAGAGAGGAGAGAGAGAGAGAGAGAGAGAGAGAGAGGAGAGAGAGAGAGAGAGAGAGAGAGAGAGAGAGAGAGAGAGAGAGAGAGAGAGAGAGAGAGAGAGAGAGAGAGAGAGAGAGAGTTGACTCAATAATGCTTCCCCATCCCCCTATTCCCTCTTCCACACCCTCCCTCCCCCACGACAGGTTTCTTCGACCGCCAGAGGGCAGCCATTACAGCCTCAATCGCAGACATCGCAGCAGAGCTAGCCCCGGCCCCTCAAGGTGCCTTCGCTCCTCTTCGCCCGCTGGTTCCCCAGTAAATTCGGGGGCAAGGGGCAGCAGGTGCCTGACCACACCACACCACTTACAGCGTGACACACCACACCACTTACAGCGTGACACACCACACCACTTACAGCGTGACACACCACACCACTTACAGCGTGACACACCACACCACTTACAGCGTGACACACCACACCACTTACAGAGTGACACACCACACCACTTACAGCGTGACACACCACACCACTTACAACGGCCGTTGCTTTGAGAAACTACTATAGAGCTCTTGCTTTTGACTTACAAGTTCGCCAGAGGGTTGGGTGGTGGGTGGGTGCTAGGTGGGTGGTGCTGGGTTGGTGCTGGGTGGGTGCTAGATTGGTGCTGGGTGGGTGCTGGCAGTGACTGCTGTTGAAGAACAAGCACACGCGTGATTAGTGATAGATTCCTTAGCCCGCCAGCCACCCTTACCCCCCTCCTGAGCCTACCTTTCGAAGGTGGTCTCGCTCTGAAATCAATGCCTTGATCTCAGCGTTCTTCTGCTCCACTCGAATATCTCCCTCTCCCCCTCCCACTCCCCTGCAACTCCCCCACCCCCTTCCCCTCCAACCTCCTCTCCCCCTCTTCCTCCCCCTCCCCCTCCCTGCCCCCCCTCTCCTGCCCCTTCATCTTTGCCAGACTCTTCCTGTTCCTGCTCGCTGCCCTCCTCCACATCTTTCATTTCCGGCTGCTCGCTGAATGAGAGGCGCCGGTGCCCTGACTGCTGCGCCAGGAGCTCAGCATGCCTCTCTGACTTCTCAGCACACTGCAGAAACATAATAAGAAGTGAAGTTGAATCCAGAAATTAGGCCACGACACATGAGGACAGCTAGTGGCTTCACGATAGCATACATTACGAAGTGTGCGGGAGACGTCCTTGTACGCATCTTCAGCGAACGCGCGCTTCCGTTCGGATTCAGTTATACTGTCACGATAGGCTGCTAGCAGCACTTCCAACTTGCTCCTTTTATCGCCGGCCTCTCTCTCGTACTCTGTAAGGTGTAGAGGGAATATAATGGAAGGAGATGAGAAAGAATTTGTTTCACATGCCAGTCCCCTTCCCACGCCACCCCACTCATCCCTCGCCACCCCAATCATCCCCCGCCATCCGCTTTTACATACCACCCCCATTCCCCAACCACTTCCCTCCCTACGACACGCCCCTCTCCATGCCACCCCCTTAACCGCCCTTCCCCATGCTACTCCCCTCCCTTTGCCATCCCCTTCCCCTCGCCACGTCACTCCCCTCCCTTGCCACCCTCCTCCCTATGCTACTCCCCTCCCCTCCCTTCCCCATATCTAAACTCTGCCACTCACTTCCCCATGCCCCTCCCCACCTCCTCGAGCATACCTATCTCGGCTTGTATCACCCTGTTTTTGCACTCATCCAAGCACATGGTATCCTGTATCTGGTTCTTCTGCATGTCGAGGCGGGTACGTATCTCACCCCAGTCCAACTCTGGCAACACGGCACACAGGGAGGGAAGGACAGATACAAATGACATAGTAAATGCAGAGGGGAGGGGAAGAAGGGTGGGCGGGGAAATGGGGGTGGTGTGTGGGGTTGGGGGGGAAGGGGACGGCGCGCCATGCCAAAGGGCAGCGGGGCTTGAGGGCACGGCATGAGCCACCTCTTCGCAGCAGTAGAAGCAGCAATGTCAGCAACAACAGCGATACCAACGATACAACAACATGCAACATGGATGACAGCAATAACAACATGCAATCAAGCATACAACTTTTTTGAATGAATTCGTAGAATTAACTCACCACATGGTGGTGGGCGTGGGCGTGGGACTAGCTCTGTAGCAGCAGCACCACCACGACTCACCATATGGGCGTGGGGCAGGAGAACCAGCAGAAGCGCTGCTAGGGGTAACGAACTCAATAGAACGTCTTCCAAAGTCGGTGATGGGGGTAAAGAACCCAGTAGAAGGCCTTCCGAAGTTGCTGCTGGGGGTAACAAACCCAGTAGAAGGCCTTCCGAAGTTGCTGCTGGGGGTAACAAACCCAGTAGAAGGCCTTCCGAAGTTGCTGCTGGGAGTAACAAACCCAGTAGAAGGCCTTCCGAAGTTGCTGCTAGGGGTAACGAACTCAGTAGAAGGCCTTCCGTTGTCGCTCATGGTGCTGTTGGAGTGGAGTTGCCGTTGGCGCAAGTGTTGCAGTTAGCGCCTCTGGTACTGCGGGTGTTGCGGTTGTAGTGGAGTTTGCACTGCTGCAGATAGCTGGAGCAAGGGGGGCGGCAGAGTGGTTGCTATCTGCAAGGATGGAAATGAAGGGGAATTAAGGGTAACGAACCGGCAGGGTGAGAGTCCCCGCCTATGTGTATTTTGCTGCCTGTGAACACTGTCCGCACACACGCAGTGATGCACTGACGCACGCACGCGCTGACGCATACACTAACGCACGCACGCATGCACCGACGCATGCACGCATGCACTCACTGACACACGCACGCACGCACTGATGCACGCACGCACGCACTGAAGCACGCACGCACTGACGCACGCACGCACGCACCGACGCACGCATGCATGCACTGACGCACGCACGCATGCACTCACTGACGCACGCACGCACTGATTCCAGTGAGAGAGAAATGGTAGCATGGTGACGCAATGATACATCACATCATAGCAGCGCCACAGCAATCCTAGCAGTGTTTTGAGTGACTCAAAACACACCAGGATCGCCACCGAGCAAGACATGGTAGCACGGTGACTCAATGATGCATACATCATAGCAGCGTCACAGCAATCCTAGCAGCACGAGCTTACCACTGGGACATTCGTTCAGACTGTCTCCAGCAGTCTGGTGTAACGGAGGCAGGTACATGGTCAGGGGGGGAAGGGAAAGAGAGAATGAGCGAATAAGGGCGATTAGACTTCGACTTGTGGAAGGGAGGCAGGTACAGGATCAGGGAGCAGAGTGGAAGAGAGAATGGGCGAATAGGGACGACCAGACAGTGACTATCTCATGCTGATGCGTCAAAAGAGTTCAGGGTGAAAAAGGTTAGGGGAAGAAAGAGCGGATATAAGTGCGATTAGAGTACTGTTGCTTACAGACTCGAATCAAATTATTTGGGAGCAGATATGCTGATTATTGCTGACTCTTCACCTTCCCTTGTCCCCCTCTCAGCAGGCACACGAGGCATTTCAGCATATCAGCATATCTCGCCCCTCCCTGTGCTCACTCTCCCCTCTCCCTCCCCCTCCCATCTCACTTCGCACGCACGCACGACGCACTGACGCACGCACCGATGCCTCGTGTCCCTGCACCGTTCTCAGACCGCCATTCAGCAGCGAATTCGTTGACGACCGTGAAAATCGATCCGATGAAAGTCGTCCGATATGCCGTTCGTAGATCCGTTCGGGTAGCAAGGCGGTACGCCGTTCGTAGATCCGTTCGGGTAGCAAGGCGGTACGCCGTTCGTAGATCCGTTCGGGTAGCAAGGCGGTACGCCGTTCGTAGATCCGTTCGGGTAGCAAGGCGGTATGCCGTTCGTAGATCCGTTCCCGTGCTTGCTGAGTGAGATTCAAAAACTGAAAGGAAGTGGATTCGAGAGGCAGCATTGCATGATGCTGAGCCATAGAATATGTCGTTCCTAGTTGGCGCGTTGAAGTTGAGGAGAATGTGGTGTGGCGTGGCGTGCTAAGGTGTGATCGTGCAGGCGTGCTTGCGTGGATACAGCGTTCTAACTCCAAGGCAGTAGAACTTCGTGGAGGAGAATCCAGCGAGGAGATAATCCAGAGGGTGGAGTGAGCGTTGAGCTGCCATGCATGTGTGTTGCAAACTAACCTCGAGGCGGGACCTTTCTGGATCTGGCAGTGTGGTGATATGGATGGGAAGGACTTCGGTACAGTACAGTAATCTCGATTGGACTTCGGTTTCTCCGTTTGCCCCGGTTTGTCAAAGCGGTGAAGTATGGTCCTGTGCAATCGGAAGCAGTTATCTTTCTTCTCTGCTCTCCACCTTGAACAAAGAGGATTCTTGTTGCCCAGCTAGATTTGGATTCTAGATTTGAGTGCGGCTCGTGATGTGATCACGTTTTATCCAGGCCTTGGGCGTTTTATCTAACGTCCTCGCGTTTTACAGGTCTCGCGACGACTTAGGTCACCTCACGGCATCTGCTCCGTGCGTGGGTGAAGGAGAGGGCGACTTTGTTCCATATATTTGTGCCCGGAAAACAGTTATACGAAGCAACCATGGCTAATCCAGGCGTCAGTGCTGCGCACGCGTGACCTCGTGCGCTTTCCGCCTAAACGCGGTTTCGCAACAGGCATGCGCGAAGGCCGCGAAGTTCGCGAAGTAGTGGGAGGGCGCAGTGGGGAAGGGAAGGTGGGCAGAGGAGGGCGCACTGCGGAGGCGGGAAGGTCGCGGCGCTGCCCTTCGCCGCGTGGCCGCCGCCCTACTCCTTTCCGCTTTTCGTGTTCACTCACTCCCTCGCCTCTTCCCAACCCCCCCTTCCTGCCCACCACACCCTCTCTGCCCGCCTTTCTCCTGCCCACTTCCTCCCACCCGCCTCCCTTCTCTATCCGCCCTGCCCGCCACCCTTTACCCCCCTTCTCTCCCAATTGCCTGACCCCCTCTAGCCCTCACCAGAGTGGCAGCAGCTGCAGCGCGCACAAGATGCGGCGCGCCATGGCGTGTGTGGAACCAGGGAGGTCCACCCGCCACCTCTCTCCCCCTTGCCCCACCCCACTCCGTTCCATGAACCCCCCCCCTCTCCCTGGCTACCCTATCCGCCTGTAACCCTCTGCACGCTGGCAGCAGCAAACAGCAGGTGCAGCGTGCCAAGGCGTTTGTACAACAGGAGCTGAACATTCTCACATCTCCCCTCCCCCCCCTCCCCTCCACCCTCCCACGCTGGCAGCAACAAGCAGAATCACTGTGAGGAGCAGCAATGCCGCCCCTCGCCCCTCGACCAATCACCCCTTTCCCTCCGTGACACAAGTGAGAGAATATCCGTCCAAATCACCCCGTCCCCTCCCCCTCTCCCCCTCCACTTCCCCTCACCGTCACAGTCTGCCCCCTTCCCCCCCCCATCCCTTCCCCCTTTTCCCCACGCCAGGGGGTACGGCTCGTCCCTCCCAGGGGGCATGCCGGCATGATCGCCGCTCAGAAGAGGAGAGGACATTGGCGGTGCTGCTGGCCACGGCCAAGAGTCAGCTTTGATACGCCTCAAAAAAATCTCTCCCATCCATTTCCGCTTCCCCCTTCCTTCCACTCTTCCCCTCCTCCTCCCCTTCTCCCCCCCCCGTCCCCTCCCTCCTTTCCACTCCCCCCCCCCTCCCCTCCCCTCTCCTCCCCCCTGTGTCTGTCGAGGCACCTCAACCGGCGGCGACGGTGGTGGGCGGCGCTGCCCTGCGCTGCCTTGCGCCGCCACGGGTGAGGCACTGGCGGCATGCTGGCGTGCTGCGTGGTTCATGCGCGCGGAGGTGCGTGCCGCGCTGGCCTCTGCCGCCACGGACGAGGTGCACGAAAGGGGTGGCGGGGAGGGGAGGTCGTGGTGGGAAGGGGGGAAGGTTGGCAGGGGCGGGCGCAATGGGGAGTGGGGCAGGTGGGGAGGGAAGGCCGCATTGGGAAGGGGAGCACTTTGGAGGAGCATCAGAAGGCCCGCAAGGGACGGGATGCGAGAGGAGGAGCGGGTGGGTGCTGCTGTGCCAGTCGTCTCCCGCCATATCGTAGCAGCATCGAATTGTGGCTTGCCCCATATCCAGCCACTTTGTGGCTCAATGTCCCTTGTAATGCAGTCTAGCTCACGTACCCTTAGTAACCTGCTGGCACAATCCCCCTCCCTTCCCCCTCTGCCTCTTCCCCCTCTCGCATTCCATGGCCCCACCTCGCCCACCCCCTTTTCCCATTCCCCAGCTGCAGGTGCCAGCAGTGTTGCCGTTGCTGCCAGCAGTGCTGCCATCACCGCACACCTTCCCTGCAGACGGTTTGCTCTGCAGCATTGTTGATTTCGTTGCTGTCGCATGCCTTCCCTGCCCCCATCACCTCCACGCGCTTCTTTCAAGGCGCCTCACAAGGCGGCTGGTGCTGCCATGCTCGCAGCCCTGCCCTCCTCCGCCGTCGGCCAAGGCGCGAGCCGCCACCCATGCTGCCTGCCGCGCGAGATGCACAAGGGGTGAGGGCGGAGTGAGACGCGGGTTTGACATGGGAAGGGGGACCATTCCCGGTTTCCCATGTTCCCTTTCCCCTCCTGTCTTCCTCTCCTCCCCTTTCCCCTCCCCCTCTCTCTCCTCCCCCCAGTGAGCGCGCTGCTGGCGCTGAAGCCCCTTGGGTGAGTGAGAGAGGGAAGGGGCCTGAATCCCTTTGGGCGGGTGAGAGGGGGAAGGGGACTGAATCCCCCTTGGGCGGGTGAGAGGGGGAAGGGGCCTGAAACTTCTTGGGTGTGTGATGTAGGAGGCATGTGTGAGGGACAAGGGTAAGTTGAGTGAGAGATGTAGGAGGCGTGTGTGAGGGACAAGGACGAGTAAGTTGAGTGAGGGATGTATGAGGCGTGTGTGAGGGACAAGGACGAGTAAGTTGAGTGAGGGATGTATGAGGCGTGTGTGAGGGACAAGGGTAAGTTGAATGAGGGATGTATGAGGCGTGTGACTCCTCCGACTGGAAGTGGAGCAAGGGGGTCTGAAACCCCTAGGGTGGGTGGGAGTGGAAGAGAAGGGGGCTGAAATCCTGAGGCTGGGTGAGGGCCAGCGGAGGGGGTTGGAACTGTGAGGGTGGTTGAGTGGAAGGGAATAGGGCCAAAGGCGTGAGGGGGGGGGGGGTGGTGATGGGTGGGGCACACTGCAGAGAGCAGAGCAGAGCACATAAGTGAGCAGGCATGAGAATGTTGGGTGGGGCAGCGCAGAGAGTATGAGGGCATGAGGGTGGTGGGTGAGTGAAGTGAGGGCCAGTGGTCCCATGCAATTGTGCGTCATGCCAATAGCTTCAGTGAAGAGCGAGGAGGAGTGAGAGTGCTGAGGCGTAGTAGGCGGCACTGTTTGCAGTCTAGAATGTTTTTTCTGTTGTGTTGCTCTCTTTCCGACGTCCTATTGATTCTGCGCAGGCCAGATCCGAGAGTGTGGTGCAGCTGATGATTTAGGACGCAGTTATTGTATTTTTTATAACAATTACT